AGGGGAGGGGAGGGGAGGGGCGGAGACGTTCCCGGTAGGCGGAGCGGCTGTGGGCTTTTCTTTCCTTCTTTTGTTGCTGAGTCGCCGAGCGGGTGGCCTCTGGTTAACATTGGGATGTGAGGCTGTGGGAGTAGTCCTGGGCGGTTCGTTTTGTGTTGCCAGGAAAACTGCAGGGATGTGGTCACGGAGTCACGCTCCATTCAAAGGTGTCGCTAATTTTAGTTTATTGTTGCAAAGATGAGCAAATCGATGGTCTGGGGGAGCTGAGAGGGCATGTCAAAAAGAAAGTGACCCCGCCTATATGACATAAACTTCACTCCTTTTAAGAATTTAAGGCAGGGTACATTATTTCCTCTGCACCGATATTTCACAAAATCTCAGATAGTGTGGCTGGCTTTAAGTCATCCTAGGAGCTTCTATGGCGAAGGATGGAGTTGAACCCTGATGCTAAAGCAATAAAGACTAGGTCCTTGGCCTTTTATTTTTCTCTGTGCTACATCTGTACGTGAAGAAGTGGTCTCTAAACATACAAAAGTTCAATGCAGTAGAAGATAGGGGTTTTTTTAAGGCTCTGTTTAATTATTTCTGAGCAACACCTTGGTGAACAAAAGTCATGTACATATGTACCAGCTACATGTATCTGCTCACTATGCAGCTCTCACTTGAGTTACCCAATCCAGTTCTTGGCAGGGATTCAGCCGAGTCTGGGACTTTTAAAGAGGATTCAGACTCATGGAGTGTAATTAAAATAAAAGTTGTAGACAGTAGAATTAAAGATACTTAAGTAATATTCACCAAAACAAAACAAAAACACCAAAGATCATAGAACTGAGATTATATACTATGATTCTGAAAGCTAAGATCTTGGAGATGTCAGAGTAAGAATAACTTAAACCTCGTGCCTTGAGATCATTGAGTAAGCAGAGCCAAGGTTCTGAATGGTAGAATCTAGAGAAACAGAAAAGGAGGAGAAGACTACATGTTCATCTCATATCTGTTGGGTGGATTGTAGAAAAGAATGAAGCATTAGGTGGTTGAGGTCATATGCTTTTAAATTTCAAAGGTTCAAAGGCCTACCAAAATTCAATCAGAAAACATGACTTACAGATCATTTAAGAGATTTGTGTTGAGGGAAAGAAGAATTCCCAATGGCCTTTTCATCAGCTTTCCACAAAACCATTCACCTACTTTACATGGCTATTGTACCAGAAATTCTTTACAACAAACTGATCCAGCTTACTATGCCTGAGCATACCTGTAGGTGGATAATCAGTT